ATACTAATAAAATGAATGAATAAAAGTTATGTGTTAGATCTGTAAGTACTGACTCTCACATCCACATTGAAAATCAAATACAAGCTACCTTGGACAAAAATACCAAAGTGCAAACTGAAAACCAGAAGTATAACTGGCATGCAAGATACTGATAAACTGAGAGGAGACTTGAATCAAACTGGAGGAAGGGAACAAAACTGGGTTTATCTGTCAACAAAGTTTATTGTCTCAAAGAAGGAATAAGCAGAGTCTCAACTAAGAAATTGCTGGAAATGACCCATACACAGAAGAAAGAAAACAACTATGGGAACTACTATGAGAGGGTCAAATCATTAAAAGTAACCTGGCAATCATTGGGAACTGCACTCTATGTTCTTGTACATTTATTCTGAGAAGCACTAGATTGCTTTAGGGAGTTTGTTTTTTTCCCCCCTCGAATTACAAAAGAATACATTTGTGACTAAATTTGCATTTGTATCTCTAGGAGGAAAAAAAAAAAAAAAAGATAACAGGACTTGCAGAATTTGCTGAGCACCAGCAGTTCTTTGAAGATGATGGCAGGTGGCAAATATTTAGCATTTTTGAGGATTAGGAACTGCAATACAGATTTTTTTCCTTTCTGTCTGGATTTACAAAAATCTTGGGCGATGTCCTACCAACAGAGACCACACCTTCTGAGACAACTCTGGAAACGAAATGCCAGAAGTTTTTTGTTTTTTTTTTTAATTTCTTGTTCTGACTGCAGCGTACAAGGGAAAAGGGAATGTGAAGTCTGCTATAAAGAATGCAGAAAAAAGAAAGATTAGTCTGAAAGTAGAAAAGAAAGATGGAGATCATTACTGAGAGAACTTCATACTTCACTTTTAGATGCACTGATGCTCTGCCGCTCACTGTATATGTAGCAAAGATAACTCACTTATACCTGGGGGAAATCTTACTGCTTTGGAAATACGTCCCCTTCCTCCCACTCTGATATGGTGTAAATGATTACACCTAGTTCAGGCAATGCAAACTCAGGCTCAATGTCTGGTTAGCACCTTGCAAACAGTCTTCCTTATTGCCTCTGCGAGTAAGACTAAACTCCCATGTACCAAGGCTGAGCCTTGCTCTGTCAGAACACAACCCACTGGCACGATAAAAGAGGAGTGCAGTAGCTGGGGCGCACCAAACACAGACCAAATGCAATATCTTTATTGCCACTGCAAAGCTTCCTTACACTGGCAACCTGTGGCTCAGCATGTTTCACAGGAACCGCATGGTGCCCTGATACACAGCGAGGCTGTCCCTCAGCTCTGAAACCTCACACACTCCCCCTTCTCCCCCAGTTCTCCCACCCCCACCTGGGGAAACTTAAGGCTACGTCAGCTGCAGAAATTTGTTTTTCCCCCAGAAGAATGATCATTACACACCTAGGAAAGAGACTAAGCCACCCTAAAGACACCAAGAGCTGCAACTGTTCCCAAAGGAAGGCAAACTGCATTCCCTTCTCTCTCACGAATCCCTCCTCCACTCGCCAGACACAAAGGGCACCTAAGCTGTGCTAGGAAAGGACTATTTGCAAAAGCAAGCCAACCTGTCCTGCAGGAAAACCCAGGGGCCAGCTGACATCCCCCTGCTCTAAGGAAGCACGGCGGGTGGCTGTCAGAGCAGGCACGCTGCACGGCTCTTGCCAGGACTTACTGCATTTGACCACGGCCAGCAGCTGATAGGGAGGACAGCAGGGATGAAACATCCAGACACCCAGGAGCCCATAGGAACTTGCAGCCCACAAGCCTCTAATAATTTTTTTTTTTTTCCTCCCCCACCCTTTTTTTTTTTCAATTCTGAAGGCATGTGACTGGCCTTCACATACCAGAGCTGACCCCTCCCAGAGCCAGCAATTTCCTAACGGCGGAGAAGGATGTTACCCTCCCGCTTATTCATTACCAGACTAGGTTTCCTTGCCATCATCCATTAAAACCTCACGCCATCTAGGGTCCGTGTGTCAGTTATGCGCAGAATCCCTCCAGAGAGCTGCGGTAAGTGCTGTGGTGCTCAGCCACCTGCTATCAGGAGGGCATGGCCGTGGCGAGCACCTGCTCCTCCTTTCCTAATTGGCACGCGGCTTTCAATTTCCAGGTGTAAACCATTAACTTTTTGCTCACACATCCACCCTCCCCTTCTGCACCGGACCCTGAAGAACGGCCAGGATTTCACACTGTTCCCCCATAAACTGGCGCTGGTACTCGGAAGCGTGCTCTCACCCCACGCGCTTTCCCACGCGTTTTGATGTCGCGGAAACACCAGGGCACGGGGAGCCGCTGGCGTTTTGGTTTCGGTTTTTGTTCGCTTGGGTTGTCAGCGCGGCGGGGGGGGGGGGGGTTTAACGCTCTTGTTGTGCCGCCCTACAACGTTGCAGAGCTTTGCTCCCAAGCTCCCCGCGTCCCAAACCGCCCCGCTTCGCTTTGCGGTTGCCACTACTCGGACGCTGAGACACACACACGCACCCCCCCACCCCGGCCTCTATCCCTGCAGGATGGGGTCCTCCAGCCGCCTGCACCCGCCGCCCTCGGGTGACTGCCCGCCGCAGGGTGGGCAGAGGCAGCGGCAGGAGCCCCTGCCTGCGGGGAGAGCCGGCAGCTCCGCAGAGGGCAGAGAGACCTCCGGTGGCTCTGCGATATACCGCAGGCAAGCTGCGCTGCCGGCCAGCTCCGGGCGGTCCGGTGGCTGCGCCGCGCAGGGCCGGGGAGCGCTGCCCGGACCTGGTGGGGCGGGGTGGGCTTGCCTTCCCTACCTCGTCCTCCGGGAGAGCCGGACCGCTTCAGCGGGTGCCCCTTGATGCTCTGCAGCGCCAGGCAGGCGCTACGCGTGGGAACTACCGCGGGGTCGCGGCACCGCTGGAAAAAAGGCCTCGGGACAGAAGGCACAAAGGTGCCGCGGTGGCAGCCACGCACGTATTGTCCCACATGTGGCCTTTCGATTGAAAAAACAAGTCCAGGATTGCTTCAGGCTACACAACCACGCGTGACAACTCTTAGAAATAGTACCCACGGCTCAGGCGGCTCTTTCTGCTTCACCTGAGCATCACAGTGACACACCGTCTCGACCCGTCTCCCAGTAAATCCCATGCAGCCCCCAGCATGCACGCGGTGCTCCTCACCCACATGCTGTAACACCACGATTCGTCGCTGGCTCCAACAGTACAGGACACACGATCTGTCAGTCACCCGTACCCTGGTGCAATCCAACATGACATTGGAATACCGGGGGTGGGGGGGTTGTTTAATAAGGTTATTGTCCAGAGGATTACCCTGTTGGGCACATCTGTGGCTGGCTGTACTGCTGCAGCTCCACTCTTTATCAGCACCTACCTTAAGAGAGCAAGCCCTCGGGGCTCGTCCCTAACAGAGCCCTGCAGACTACAACAGCAGAGCTTCCTAACAAACCTGCTGTTGAGGACACTTCTTTCTTCTTTCTTTATTAAGGGGGTAAAAAAGAAGAATTTAAAAATCCTCTGTTGGTTTATCACTATGGCTGCAAATTTAAACTAAAATTAACTCAATTCCTAATGAAATCCACACTAGGCGGGCACCTAATGTGTCTCTTAAGCATTAACTAAGAACACCTTGTCTTTGTGATAACCTCTGTCTTGATGAGCTGATGTGGGCCTCCCTTGACAGTACTTTTTAGATACCAGATGCTGCAACTACAGGGTAACAGAATCAGGGTCTGTGTGTGCTGCTTGTCCTCCACTGTCCAGTCTCACAGCAATCTCTGGTTTCAGTACAAGTAAGGCGCTGCAAGTGTCAGGACTAGCCTCAGTTTCTGACTCCGTACTGATTGTAGCAGATTAGCAGTCACTTATTGCCTATTGGCACCAAGCAGCTCAGGGTCCTACAAGATTTAAACACCTTTTTTCTCCAGTAGGATTGATGGAAAAAACATTCTGAAGTACTAAGTCCTTCTGCCTGTTCTTTTAAGGGCAAACTGTAGCTTAATCCATGAAGTTAGCAAAACTACTTCTGCTCAAAGGACTTCTTTCACACTGGCACAAAAGAAGTAAAACCAATAAAAGACCTCCCACCACTGACTCCCAGACTAGCCTAGTCCCATCTAAGGCAATAGTCTAAGGACTCTTAGATAATGTCCTGTCCCTGGAGGATGGAGAACCCATGCATCTTTGTCGCTCACAAGGTCCCTCACCCCTCTGCAGATTGCTGCTTTAGGCTCGGCCCCTCACTTTGCTGTCGCTGCCTTTCACTCTCCCCGCCCTCTCTGACAACACAATGAGGAAAGTTTGCTCATAGAGTGAGTTTCCACAATTACACAGTATTTTCTGACCACTTAGCCTAGTTTTTGCTTCTCACATGGCTCTTCTCTTAATAGGTTTTCTTATCTCTCCCTTTACCTAAACAGAAATTATTAACATTTTTGCAATGCTCCCTTCTCTCTCAATCAGTAACTAGTGCACAAACGAAAGAAACAGCTAACAGTCTCTCATCCTGTGAATGTGGTGGGAGCAAAACCTCGTCCCAGCTGAAGTAACCAGCAAAACTCCTGCTGACCTCAAGAGAGGAAAAGCTATGCCCCAATACACACCTTTAAAATCCAAATCACAAACTGCATTTGGACAACTCGTCCGTGTGTACAGGGTGTTATTGTTCCTAAAATTGCTGCTAACAAATTCAGGTATAACTGGAGCTGAACAAGGTTCATCTGTAACCGGTAACTAACCCCTCCAGGGACAGGTTCCAGAGATGTGACAATACCAGCCAGCCTTTTATCAACACAAGTATCACCTACAAAACTTCTGTAAAGTAAATTTGCACTTTTCTAATGAACAGCGGGTTTGGACGGCTCTCTCCTCTCCTGCAGCTCACTCTGTTACACTGGAAATTATTCTGTGTAGAAAACATGCAGTGTTGAAAGAGGCAAAACTACACTCTGAGACAGTCCACTGAAGTAAACAGACATCAGGGAAAAATCAACAGGCACACAGAAAGCTCACCCACTGCTTTTACCTTTCCAAACAAGGGACTTCCGTGACATCTCCTCTGAAGAGTGTTTCTCTTGCATCCCTTAAGCCATTGGCGATGCCTTCACCGCAGCCCTTCATCGCCCCGTCAGGGGGAAGCTGCAGGACATCTGGCTGCCCCGAGGCCGATGTCCGATCTAAAAACTGGCTGCCCTCCTTCATGCGCTGCTGGATCATGGGAGTGAGTGGCATCTCAAAGCTGAAGTAGCTATCAGGCTCCGAGTACAATGTCTCCAGCGACTCCGCGCTGTAGTATAAAGATGTATTGTCTAGGATGTTTTCAAACTGTGAGCTGTACAGATCAGTGGAGATGTCAGAGTGCCTCTGCCCAAGGACATCTTCATATCCTCCCATGGCTGCTTCCCCCTCCTCCATCATCCTGGAAATTAATCAAACAGCTCATTTCAGCTCAGGGGCAAGGTTTAGACCTCTGGGTAAACCTCCTCGCCTTCCACCTTTGCGAACAGAAAGGTCAACGTGGCTTCGTGCAGGAGAGGACACTGTGGGTAAAATGTTAGTTTCTCCTTGCACAACTTCTGTTCGTGACTGGCACCATCTCTCTCTCTGGGGACATAAAAAGAAACAATCTTCTGCGTAAAAGAGGGGGGCAGGGGGAAAGCCTAATATTGCCTAACAGTTAGCATCAGCTGCTTATGTGCAAAGGAGAGGAGCACTCACAAATGCGTAAGGTCTCTGCTAGCACCACTGCCATGCCAGAGGCTGCACAGGTCAGAGACGTGCACCCAGATGGGCCCTCTGCCTCTGGAGGACAGTTTGCTGGCTCTGCAGTCCCAGGGCTGGGGTCTTTGGCGAAAAGCTGGAGGGAACCCCTCCAAAATGCAAAGGGAAGCAAATGCAACTAAAAAACAGGAGCTGGGAGAACCAGATCTGAAGAGGGAAGACTCGGCCTGCTTGCAGATGCACAGGGGAAGGTGTAGCATCCCCCTGTGGAGAGTTTTCTTCTCTGCTGCACCAAATGCTGTGGGACTTCGGCATCAGGGATGCCTGCCCAAGCAATCCCACATGCTAGCCAAAGCAAAACTCCATGGATCCCAAGGTGCAGAGGCAGTAGTGCCTCCCTTGCTGAGATCCTGCTGTGTCAACAGCAACACCCTACCAGGTCAGAGCAGTTTGCTCAGAGCGCACCAGTGGGACCATTTGCTTTGTTACAGATGTGCATCAGGAAAGAGAAGTGGACAAATCGTGATGGTCTTGTAAAAAGCAGCAGACAATCTTTGCAATATATATAGCTAAACTTATATAAACACAGATAGATAGATAGATAGATAGATAATACAGAAAGCACATCACAGCATTTACCCTTATATAACCTACAGGGCCCTGGGTAAAAAGTCTTTATTATCCAACCTCTCAGAGGTGCTTGCAACATTCTTGCATGAACTCTGCCAGAAACCAGAAAATCTGGCCAGGCACACATGGCCAGGCCTGCATGCTGCCTATATTTAATTACATGCCATGCCTGGATCCCAACTACACCTGCTACAGATGCTTCATCACACAGCCATTACTCTGCAGACAAGAGACACCTTTACGTTTCCAAACCTGAGATGGACTTCAAACTTCAGCAAGGTGCTGTGGACAGGGTTCAGTCCCAACTTCACACACTAGCCACCACCAGGCATGAACCGCTACGATCGCCACCATGCCGCAGGCAGCGGACAAACATTCACTGTTTGTCATTAGCTCCTAAGCGGTAGGCACAAGCCACGTGCTTGGGATGAGAGTAACCCCGCCTGCCCCCTGCACCCCCCCAAGCACCATCTCACCTGCCCTGGCCTCTCGCTAGCACAGCCATCTCTTCCTCACTGTGGCTCTTCTTGTCCTTCACAAAAACTTCATCCTCCCCGCTTTCATCAAGCAGCACCAGAGGAGTGGCTCCAGAGGCAGCGGGTCCCAGCCTCAGGTCCTCACAGACCTCGCTCCAAGCGCTGTCCTGCGAGGAGACCAAGCCTGGGGAGACCATCAGTGGTGCAGGGTGGCTGGATGTTTTGGGGGATGCCTTCTTCTCCACAGACACAGTCTCCAGCAGCGAGTGCTTCTTTCTTCTCTGCTCCTCGGCTTTTTGCAGCCATAAAATCTCCACCCCTTGAAATTCTACGTGTTTGCTCACAGCTGCCTCTTTAGAGAGCCTTCTCTCAGGACCCATTTGCATTTTGCCTTGACTGTACGCTGAAAACTCCTCAAAATGCGCCCACCCCTCCACTCTGCTGGCTGCTTCCAGGTTTGTCACAGATGGTCTATGACAGCTTGTCTCCTGCGCTGCATGGACCTCCTCGGCTTTATTACTGATGGCTTGCAAGGACTCGGACTGCTTTTCTCCAGTCCATATTGCAGCCAGATCTTTCTCTATGATCAAATGCATTTTTTCTTCAGCTGTTCGTTCAGATGGAAGAGGCATGTCTGAGGGTTTTTCTTGGCCTGCTGGAACTGGTTCTCTGGCTGCCTGCACATTTTGGCTGCCAGTAACACTCTTTTTTTCCATTTGAGTCTCTGAGTCAAGAGAAGTATTTGCTCTCTCTTGCACCTTTGTTGTTTCCAGCCGTCGAGAGATTTTCATAATCTCTGGCAGGTCACCGGCAGGTTGCAAACCTTCTTCTGGGGCATGCAGCTGTGCTGCCCCAGCATCAGGTCTCAAATTGTCTGCAGGAGCCGCACACTGAGGAAGGGACCTGCCAGGTACCCGGTGGTGACTGTCCCCTATTTCTGGACTGTGTGTCACAGGCTCTGCCTGGCATGGCGATGAAGCCCTCGGCACATCTCCACTTGGCTCTATGGTGCCATACTCTGGAAATTCATTGATGATCGTATGAGGGACCAAAGTGCTGCTTGCATGGCCACTACCTGCACAGAAGAAAAGAGAGTGTGGGTTTATCTACCATGTGCATAAGCAAAAAGCCCGACCTCCCTTCCCAGCCCTCTCTCCCCTGCAGGGAAAATACCATTCAGTTTAACTCACTTCTGCATGGTCTCACACTGCAGTTATCCAGAGCCGGTCCTTTTACATACAAGTTTTTGGGCAGCCCTACTTTGGGAGCATGCACTACTGAGGAAGGAATGCCAGAAATGTCTACTACACTTCAGAAAGGGTCCCGGTGGCCCATGAACAGTCTGAGGCCACAGGCCAGACGCAAAGGCTGAAGAAAACAGATATTCAGAGGTCTGACATCCATCCACAGCATGTGCCATACATGTTGGTTTTATTTTAAAGAAATGTTTTTAGGTCATTTTCACTTGTAAAGATGAAACACTGGGAAGTTAATCAGCCACACCCTGTATATTCCACAGCCTTGACAAAACCAATTAGCTAAATTACAAAGCAATTAATGAGCAATTCAACTTTCTGCCAGCACTACCCTCTTCCTTTAACAACTAGGGTAACTGAAGGTTGTGTTGCAGTGATATACGCATACCGAGCAGTTCACATTTTCTGTTGCAGCAAATTCACCGCTGCACAGAAAGCTTGCTACCCCTCCCCTCATGGTGCTGCTTTTCCAACTGATGTAAACAAAGCAAGAGCGAAAACGGATGGTCCCATTTTCCAAGCGCCAAGCACCCAGTGGCTCCCATTGTTGTGGGGTAACAGAGAACCAGCTGTCCTCAGAGGGACCTCATGGATGACACAATGACAGATACTTGGCCACCTAATACTACGGCCCAAGGAGGAACTGAGCTTTTAAAAAAAAAAAAAAACAAAAACCACCAAAAAACAAACCAGCAACAGCTGCATTTGCTGCACCCTTCTGGAAAAAACTGGCCTGGAGTATAAAAGTGCTTTAAAACAAACAACAAGGGGGCCGAATCCAAACACCTACTCTGAAAAATGTCAGGGGTGACAGCTCTGAAACCAGACACCAACTTGCATTTGGATGCTTTGCCCTGCTCAAGCTGCATCTCTAGGTGCTGTGCTGCAAACCAATCCCCATCTCCGCTCCGAGCAGGCTGGCCACAAGCCATTTCTGAGGAGGAAGCCATGTAACTGTGGTTAATGACAGGCTGAGTTCAAGGTGAAAGGGAAAATAATTTCACGCGAGCTCAGCACTCCACTAATGGCTATCTATCTGCTAGTAGTTTGTAACACCTGCCAGCTCACTATCCAGTATATCTAGCCACAGGGTAAACACTGCACCTTGTGCATGGTGCAGGATCAAAGTGACAGACTTGGACCATGCCAAACCACAGTCTCTTTGCCTGTAGGTTCTCCAGATACCTCCATGGTATTGATTTAATTACTCCATAATAAAACTTCAGTGGGTCAGGCTTCACCTGGATGATATGGTTGCTGTTGAGGACAGCGACTGCACAAAGCAGGGATCTTTTCACTCCTGCAAGGTCCCAGGGAGCTGTGAGGAGTATAGATGTCCTGTCCACTTCTGCATCACCAGTCTGCCGCCATGGCAGGGTTTCCAACACACAGGTGCAGGTGCACTGGGAGAGTGTAAGGAAGAGAGCAAGGTCCCTCTCTCCATGTAAGCATTTCCAGGCATGGTGCTTCTTCTAAGTGCCCAAAGCCCCAGACAAACAGCCCCCTTTACACACTGTTCAGCCATGCAGTCCTTGAGTGCATCCCAAGCCCACCCACTTCATGGCACAGGCGCCAGGTTGCCATTAGGACACACTTTCACCAGCATGGACTCACAGATGCGAACAATGCTGTGTGGCTGCAACGTCCCTACACCTGCACCAGGACCAGCCCAAGCCAGCAAAAGGTCCCAGCTTTCCATCCCTCAGCCCTGGTCTGCTCTAATGCAGTGGCTGGTCTCAGCACACGTCCAGAGATGGGATTTTTCAAGAGACAAGAACTGCCATGAACCCTTCTCCATGGACACAGGTCCACCTACAGCAACTCTCAGCTGGCAGACCTGCAAGTGGCAGGTGCCCCAGCTGGGATTGCCTCATGCCCCCAGCACCATGGGGCAGCACTTGGCCACCCCGCTGCCTGGGCCGCACGCTCCAGCCACATCCCAAAGGAAGGCAATGCATAGTGCCCCAGGAGCTGGGACCCCCCACGCTTCCCTCCCACCCATGCACCCCGCCTCGTTGGAAGGAAGCCCGGAGCATCGCCCCCCCGGCCCCCCATGGGTCTGGGATGCAGCCAACATGCGCTGGAGGCCAAGCACTGACAAGGAACCACACACAGACCCTGCCAAGGGGCCAGGCTCGTCTCTGCTAATTGCTATCTTAGCTTCTGAACCAACACGAGGGAAACACAGGCAGCCTTCTTTCTGGCGGTGCATGCTAAATACACTGCTGCGCGTCCCCATCTGCCACCAAAGGCCGCTGCTGGCAGCAGTAAGCAGTCCTGAGCAAGTTTCTGATTTACTTCTCCTGAACTTCATCCCAAGCAAACTTTACCCTCTGGCAGGCCCAGCAGACTCCAGAAGAGGTACAGGTACAGAGCACATGCATGCATATATGGGCACAGAGACATGCAGGCAGAGGGAGTGTGCACACAGGTACCTCTCTGCCATGCTTGCAAGCTGTATTTCACCTGGGCAAGAGAGGAGCACTTTCACGGTGGGAATTTAAGGCCTTTTCTATAGTGAGGTGCCAGCAGCCCTGCTCTAGAAGGACTGCTGCTGCTACCATATGCGAGCACAAGTCAGCGGGATTCTCGCCTTCACAGCATCCTGCAGGAACGTTGCCTAATTCACTGCCCAATTACAAAAAAATCACATATGGCACCAAAGCAGCAGTCTGTCCCCATTATGTTAGGTACTACCATGCACATGACTGCCACGGTCTCCGCTTCTTCCGGTCAAACACCACCAATTGCCCCCCACTCTTAAAAGGTGCAAAGCCTTTCCCTTTGCTCAGAGAGCTATTTCAGGTACCAGAGCTTACAGGAGCTTGAGCTCTTTAAGGGAAACTCCTCCCTTATTCCCATCCACCACCACAGCATCATGTCTTGCTGCAGCTACTGGCATATCCTGTCCAACCCCATCCCCCAATATGACTGCATTACAAACAAGGCTAGAAAGGCAACAACAAAATTTAAGGACCGCACTGAAGATGAGCAGGGAAAAAAAATACCCGCCACCAAACAAACAAAGAAAGGACACACACTCTCAGGTAACACCAATTTCTACTTTGCATTGAAGGTGGCTTCTTTCAACAAAGCAAAAAAAAGGAAAAAAAAGGGAAAAAAAAGAATTAAACGGAGAGAGAAAAAGCTAAAATAGAAAGGGGGTGAGTGGCTAGAAAACTGAGACCGGGCAAATATAACCTAACAGCAGTTGGCAGCCTTTCTGATGACTAGACGTTGAAAGAATTCATGACTTAAATCAGGCATAGATATGATATTTCATAAGTAAATAACCATTCCATGTCAAGCAAGCTTGTCTACAGCATAATAAAAGGAAATTCTAGGAAGCAAAACACAAATTACAAGCATAGACAGACATTTTGTTTACAGGTACATTTTACAAAAGAATGGTGTGAGTGTCTCTCTCTATACAGTATATATATATATATATATATATATTAGCTAGCTCAACAAATTAGATATAGTTGCTTGAACAGTCTCCTTACTCACAGAGGTTACTGTAGCTCCAGCAGTTACCCATTGGTCAAAGAAATAAAATGCACAGATCATCAGTTTATCTATAGCGATACCAGCTAATTCAATTGCTGCTGTTCTAGTCAACTGGAATCAAAATAGTTTCAAATTTCCTGGCAGCTGCTGCCCTGCACTGCACACAATGATGTAAATGGATGCTTTCTGAGTATTATGAAACTGATGGGGGAACTGCAGTCTCATTCAGTCTATCGCAGGAGCTAAGGAGTCCACCTTGGCAGCTTGCAGGGGAGAAAAAAAAATTTCCTCCAGCAAGGCTGCCTGACAGTATGCCAGGGAGATGTCTGTGCTTAGCTGCCGTTTATTATAACCGCGTCTGTAAGGGAAGAAATGGGAAGAATGGCGATGCTGAGAGTCGTGTGCTGGTTTCAGAGCGCGGGGCGCCTGACGGGCTTTTGGCATTACTGAGCTGGAAGGTTTCACAAAGCAGCCCAGTCAGCTTGGATTATATGTCTCTGCAGCTCCTTGTGCCGATCACAAGCAGCACGTGGGTGAGCCTGCATGCAGCGTCACACCAGTTATGCTTTTTTGGTACCGGCATTTCTTGCCATTATTTGTAAATGGCAAATTAGGCCACGTAAAAACAATGCATGTGTTAAGAGGAAATGAAAAGCTAGGTAACAGAGCTTAATGAACTTATCGCAGGATTATGGCATTGTATCGTTATTGCAGCCTGCCAGAGAGAGAGGTGGGTCACATGTCTCAGCATCCTGCACTCCCTTGAGTTACAACTTCTGTGGTAACTAAAACTATTCCGATTTATAAAGCAGTGCCTGCACATGCTGAGATGGAGCAGCCTCCCCCTGTGAGAGGGGAGGGATGCTGCACAATCACTGGCAGCCTTGCGCAGCGGTGTTTTCCAAATGATGTCATTCTCCATGCCATAATAGGTCCTGCCTGGCCGGCGGAGGTCCTTCGTTAGCCAAAGCCAGGGGATTAGCATAATGCAAGCACCATGCTTTTGTAACTGGACTGGAAATGTCCACACCAGGTTGGGCGCAAGGCTTTCTGCAGCTTGCAGCCACTCCTGGCTTTTGGGCAATTTGCTTGCGGGGGGAAGCGGAGACAGGCCTTCATCCCTGCAAAGTTACACTGGCATTATTCAAGAACAACAAGTTGGTGGAAACGGGGAAGCTGAGTGAAGGCAGGGCACAGGACTGGGGGAGCAGAGGGAAGAGGTAGGGGCGAGTTGCCTAGAACATAAGCCCTGGTTAAATGCCTCTGCTGTCTTAGCAAACACGCAGGGAAGGTGGAGGGCACCAGAGAC